TGTTCTGTTGTAAATAAATCTTAACCAATGATTCCTAATTGCATCTACTTCCGGAAGGCCAAATAAAGTGCTTTTGCTTTCGCACTGAAACACACAGCGTCTCCCTGACATGCTGCATCAACACTACTGCTGTTCCTGAAACCACGCCTTCTTTCTTTGCGTGCACATTTGGGCGGCATTATGCTAATATTTCCACATCGTGACGTAGACTCTTTTATAAAGAATATCTCTTTGGATTTGAGACTTTAGTCTTTGCAACTTTACAGATCTTCTTTATGCACCAAGAGCTTGTAACACTCCAAAGAGAAAGGAAAAATTGAAATTGCATCATATGACCCTTTTAATGATATTCTAATGGGCCGCTTTGTGACATCACAAAACCCCGGAAACCAACACTGTAGTTCAAATGAGCCGTTCGTTGTAGTTCTTGAAAAGGGATTTTTTAAAAACGAAATATCTCCCTTTTTTGTAGATCTTTTTTATGCCCAAACATACACACTACACACGGACTAAAATTCAAAGATTGAAAAAGCATAATAGGACCCCTTTAAAGGATAAATTACCCCAAAATGAAAATTCTGTCATCATTTACTCATTGCAAAACTGTAACTTTTTTCTTCTGTGGAACATAAAAGACAAATGTATCATGATTTTTTTTTTTTTGGGGCTGTTAAAAAAAAATCCTCAAAGCATCTTCTTTTGAGTTTAACAGAAAAATAAACACATACAGGTTTAGCATGACATGACAGTAGGCTACATTATAAGTTGAAAACTGCTTTTCTCGCCATATTTCTCAACTCAGAATGCAGTGCAATGCTGGAAATAATGCTGTTTCCTGTGAATGTGCGAGACTTCCGTTACATGAGCTACTATAGATAAATAACTAAAATAAGTGCAGTAATCAATGTGTTTATTATTACTATAATGAATTAAAAAACTGTGATAGCCAAATACTACACTATAGAGGCCCATTACATAATATAATATACACTACACCAAAAGCTTGGCCACTCATCATTTAAATGATCTTATATTTGAGATTCTTCAAAGTCACCATCATTTGCTTTGCACAATCTTCACGCTCACTCACAGCCAACGCTGATTCCAGTACTGTACTGAAGGAGTGTGCGGGACACTTGGCTGTTTTACATTTAATATCTGTATACATAAAGCAGGCACACTGATATTTGCCTACACATTTAATTTCTAACATTTAAATCTTTAGATAAAAAAGGTTTTAAGTTCATGAGACACAAATTCAAATGCGTCCAAACTTTTGTCAGTAACGGGAGACGAACACACACACACACACGTACACGCACACAGATCTATATCTATATAATTTAGTTGTTTTATAAGTACTTTAGTAACATATAAATGACATTATAGCTTTGATAACTTTTATTGCTTTAAGATCCATTGAATAATGCTTGTAAAACCAGCTGCTGTAATGGAACACAGGACCACCAGATGGCAATAAAGTGAACCATGCAGAAAAGCTTCCAAGTAATGAACCAATATGTTTATGTATTGAAGGCCTCAATTCTTCATTTTGCAATACTAAACGCTTAAGGTGTATATTCACTTAAGTTTTTTTGTAGTATTCACAGAGTTTGCATGAAATCATCCTTTAAATTGCTTTTACATTTTCAAGATTTATCCAATGCTTTAGCAATATATTCAACTAAATTAGAAGATTTTGTTAAGGTCAGGGGTCACCCATCTTGATTAAGTGTTTGAGGTCCTGTAATAATTGCTTTGATCAGATTCTTGACTAAACGTTCAACATGAATATTATTATGAATGCATATGCTTATTAATAGACGGCTCACACAGTCATTCTTCTACAAATGAAAACTACAAGAACATTCTCTTGAAATAGAAACCGTTCGTGTGCATTATATATGAGCACTAATGAGCAGCCATTGATCATAGTGAAGAAGGATGAATAGATTCTTAAATAGATTCACACCGCAAGGCCTGCAGAGTGGATGAGAATCTCGTGAAGAAATGTCACCCAGAGGAGATGCAGCACTTTATTATTTATTTAGCTGAAGTGGCATTATCTGTTACATTCATTCCAGATGAAGTATTGAGGTAATTTATGTCTTTAGATTTAAATCAAAAAGTATAGCATGGTTGTTTGAGATTTCACATTGCCTCAGTTCAAGAACCATGCACTGAATTTTCATGAATGTGTTTTTTTTTTTGTTAAGGGGGACGTGACCTACCTGTGGTGCTCTGTCAATGGAGTGCTGTCCCGACCCAAACTAGTCATCCTGGACAACACCGTACACATCTGTTCTGGTGGTTTTTGTTCTTTCTTCAGCATTTATGTCATGGCTAGAGGACTGGTCTCTGGAAGTGTGCAGGTGGACGTACCTGTGCCCAAATTCCTGGCTGGAGTCTCCAGTGCACAGGGTGGCGCTGTTGCACCCATGACAGACACTATTGAAAAGATAATTGAGGCTCAATTCCTGTTCCTAAAGTATGCATAATGCAAGATCTGGATTGGTGCATCCCAAATCATAGGTCAGTGTTAGTTGGCAATACCTAACCAACCCTAATATACATCTGACACAAATTAATGACAAGGTAGTGTTCAAGGTGGTGTCATATTGTCCAAGTACATACATGTAAGTACTTATAATGCAAAGAGTTTTATTATATATAAGAATAATAGTGATAAGATGGTTCAGGGCCAGTTTAAAACGGCTAATTTATCAGAAATTGATTGGAAAGTCACTACTCATTACAAGATCTTAAGAAAGCACTACTAATTAGTTCAGACTTGAGATTTCCGACTCAAATTTCTTCTAGATTTGCAGTTTGATTTGTGATGTTTCCTCTGAAATGAAAGTTAGAAACTTTCTTGTTTATCGGAGTAAACCGTTCTTTTCCATATTGAGTTTGAGTATTTGCTGTCACCTGTAACATTCAGTCCCTGTGGTTATTTTGCACCATGATGTCATTGTTTGGAGGATAAAGATGGGTTTGTTGGCCCCATTTTCCTGGATGTCCACCATCTCATATGCTTGGTTGATTTTCCGGGTTAACCGCTGGATGACTGTGGACTGGAGTGCATCTCCCATTAAACATATTTGCAAGTATTTGCATTTTAACAAAACCAAACCACTGAAGTATACAGAGAAAACCGTGATCACTTTATGCTTACTGTACAAGTCTGTTTAAAGAGTAGCTGCAAACATTTGTGCTGCCAGAGCCACACTTGGAAGATGAAAAACCTCTTGAAAACTGCTTAACACAGTGATATTTCGAGTCTTACATTTGCCACTGGTTAATATAGTTCACAATTACACTGGAAAAAAAATTCTATTTTTGGTATGGGATTTACTTTGAAAAAAAAAAAAAAAAATCATTCAGAAAATTCTAGTTAATTTCACAAAATAATTACAAGGAACTGGCAAGTAACACATTGAAGTAAAAATGAAATTTAAAAGTAGAAAGACTGAAATAGTATTTTATTTTATATAACCATACTCCATGAAATCTGACTCCTAACAGCCACCCGGGTCACGGCACCAGAATTCATCTGATACCTTTGAGATCTCGGCCCTTGCAGCAACTGTACAAAAACTAAAATGTGGAACACTAATAATCATAATAAAACACTAGATTTTATAAAGATATTTATTCTGTAAATATAACTTTCATAAACATCAGCAATGAAACATTCACTGTAAGGAGTGTACAATTAGAAGAACATGTTTACACAAAAAAGATGAAACCGCAACATGGATGACTGACATCACAGCTAGATCAGGTATTTCCAGTCTAGATTGAGTCTTATTGCTAATGTCTCGGAGTAACAAATGGCATACTGCATTGCTATATAATAAAAGAAAATACATTATACAGCAACGCACGTCCGCCGTTCAACACAAAATCTGAAATAGTAATGATCAGCGGTCAGGAGTCATTATGGGTTTGAACTTTGACATGAAAAGAGTGATATACAAATAAAAATACTAGAGAGAAGAAGTACCAAAATAGAGTAATCCACAATTCATAACGTAACCATACTCCATCATAAAAATCTGACTCCCAACTGCCACCCGGGTCACGGCACCAGATTTCAGCCGATACCTGTGAGATCCAGGGCGTCGCAGCCTTTGCAGCAAAATTAAACAGAAATCCCAAGACTAGACTCTTCAAATCCGGAGCATTTAGGTCCAGTTGACTTAGGCCTCTGTTACTGGGTTATTGAGACAGATGACCCAAGTGTTGCATGCAGTCTGATATCATAAACTTCAATATAGTTGATCTAAGCAAGTTTAAAACGGTTGTCTCAATGCTCCGGTCTTACAATATCCCATTGCCCATGTAGGATGAATTTCATTCCTTTTACTCCGCGACTATGCCCTGCTACATGATTAAATACACACAGGCGTACACACGCAAATGAAAAAAAAAAAAAATCAAACAGCTTTGACAAGTGGTTAGCAACACAAGCAGAAAAACAAGGAACACCGCAACAATGATAAATTAACCGGTGACAATGGTTAGAGATGACAACATAGCATGTGCAAGAGAGGAAAACAAGAAATAATATGCAGGCACATGACTAATGGAGGTTAAAGTGATCGAGTTCAAGGATGATATGCGAGTTTTCAATCAAGAGCTCCATCGCGACATTCTTGCATCATGATAAGTCTGTACGAACCACAACTCGGGCTGGGTGTACAGGTAGGCATCTTAGGGTAGGAGGCTACAGGTTTTTGAGCTAGCGCTACATGGCGCTCACATTTAATACCTTGAAAATCAGGCAATTAAAGAGGGAATTATGGCTTCAAAAAGACCCCCTTGTTTTCCTCAGGAAAGACGGTGGCCCTTTGCGTACAGTTCCGTGGGTTTGCTAGCAGCGGAAACTCAAGACACACAAATCCTTTGGTTTTTGCAGGAGCCGTGCCTGTCCCTTGTTGCTGATCACGTGACGTGATGCTCTGAGTAACAGAGATTTTAAAGTGTGACATTCTGGCTGGTGACTGGACAAGGGCAGGGGGGCGGGGTAAAGGGCAGGCGTCTCCAGACTCTACGAGCTGATCCTTATTGGGCTGGTGCATTAACAATGAGAGACCTCCATGGGTGAGAGCGTCAGGATGCTCCGGTCGTTGGAGAAGAAGGTGTCCGAGTCGCTCCAAGATCTGGAAGGATCAAGGAAATTGCGAACAGTGAGGGGGACAGAGTGGACAGTTTGGAGATGTCAATTCAAAGCTGCTCTACAGTCTGACTGACTGAGAGGGACGTTCATGACCAGTGTGGGACCTCAATACTAGGGATGCACAATATATCAGTTTTTTCAGTGCTATCAGTTTGATTAATATCAAGCTATTTTTTCACCAGTTCAAACAGGTTATAAAAGTAATATATTGTTTTTCTATTTAAAAAAACTGTGTAAAACATCTGTTATGCTAATCATTAACTTGTATTATGACTATATCCATGCATCAACCATTAAGAAACATGATGTATTGGTCAACGAGTAATTGTGAACATTTGTTTTGCAGATAAAACAGTGAATTTATAAAAATAAATAATTAATGGCCATTAAGTCTTACTAGATTTAATAAAATATCCCTTAAAGGGATAGTTCACCTAAAAATGAAAATTGTGTGATCACTTACTCACCCTCATGTCATTCCAAACCCATAAGACTTTCGTTCATCTTCGAAACACAAATAAAGATGTTTTAATAAAAGAATTGGGTCCCTCCATTCAAAGTCTATTACACCAAAATTTGAATGCTTCAAAAAGTTAAAGAAATCATATAAAAAGCAACTAACCATGACACATAAAGCATATCAAATATGGTAAACAGAAGCTTAAACTTGCTTATTTGAAGAGTGAGAACCAATGAGGTTTGTTCTCACAGATGGAACAAGCACTGTTGTGCTTTTGTTTGATGAACTTTTTGAAGCAACAACGTTTTGGTGGAACAGACATTTAATGGAGGGAAAGAAATATCTCCAATTTGAACAAAATCTTAACATTCATTTTGAAGATGACCAAAAATCTTTTGGGTTTGGATTAACATGAATAACAAGGGTGAATAACTGATGACAATTAAAATTTTTGGCTGAACAATCCCTTTAATGGGCCTTAATGACATCATCCTCCAGGAAGTGACATCATATTGGTGGAAAAACAGCAGAGCAAACCTCAGTAAGTATTAGCAACAGATTTGATAAACTCTTTGTTTTGTGGCATTATTTGGCTTGTCTCACTTTAAAACGACTAAATTATTTGTATTAAGTCAAAGATAAAATGGTTAAAAAAAGATTAAAACGAACTTCAATTTGACACCTCACTAAGGAATATCTAATTTTAGCTCTTGATTTCTTTCCTGTTAGGTTCCATAATGTTAAATGTCTTGTGATTTTGTAAATGGGTTATTAATTATTAGGCTACCAGAGTATATTCCTGAAAGTCCAGTATACTTCTTTACAAGAGTGTTCCTTTATCTGTGCATCCCTTATACATCTCTCTTTAACTAACAAACTCTTTGTGCATGAAGATCAGCAAGCAGCAGTCAAGAGTCACAGCCAATGGAGAAATGGATGAGTGTGCGTTAGTACAAGATGGGTTAATGTGCAAGGTTAAAGACAATAAACAAATACAAACACAACATCCTTCCACAGCCTTCACATTCACATAGACTACATTCTTATGAAAGTATTAACATTTTCCTAGCCAGAATATGTTGGATATGGCAACTATATGTGAAAAAGATCATTTACAGTATATAAGTAAATATACAAACTAATTCGTAACATAAATCTATTGCTTGTAGAAAAATATGAGTATATAAGTTCACTATAAAATGTATATTATATCTGTAAATAGTGGAATTAAGCAGCCCTTGAGGATCTGAGCCGTTCCAAAGCTGTATTCCTCAAATGCCAGATCTGCTACTCTTGAACACCAGAGGGCATTGTCTTCATCCAATGGACTAACCCCTTAAAGGGGTCATATGATGCGATTTCAAGTTTTCCTTTCTCTTTGGAGTGTTACAACTGTTCGTGAATAGATAAGATCCCTGAAATTTTGCTCATCGTGTGTGTGTGCGCGCGTGTGAGAGAGAGAGCGAGAGAGAGAGAGAGAGAGAGAGAGAGAGAGAGAGAGAGAGAGGGGCCTGTCTTAACCGCGGCTTGTGTACTGCATCATTACTGTGTCTGTTCCCCTTTCGGGCTTGAACTGATGGTAAAACTAATGACATTATTTACTGTCTTTACATTTATTTTGAAAGATGAAGCTCGCGATTATGGTAAGGGGCGTTACATTTCCGACGAGTGCTTGCGGTGTTCGGCCAATCACAATGCACTGGGTCAGCTGGCCAATCAGAGCAGACTGCGCTTGTCGGAAGGAGGGACTTTGTAGAAAATGAAGCGTTTGAGAGAGGTGGGGCATAGAGGACCTACAATAATGTACAGTATTTGAAAAATAATGTGTTTTTTGAACATTAAAGCATGTCAACATATTCTGTTACACCAAATACACAAAATAATGATCTTTAAAAAAGCATCATATGACCCCTTTAAAGTACAGCCATATTACAAATAGATCCATGCTATATATAAGATAAAAAATACATTGATAGCTACAGTAATGCGATTATCTTTGGATAGAAAGAAGTGGTAGAGGTCAAAAGTAAATATACCATCGTCGTGTTTGCAGATGAAGACAACCGTTTTAAGACCTTGAAGAGGTAAAAAGTTTAAATCAGAGTGTATATTTGTATTTATATGGTATATGCGGCTTACTGGCTTCATACGGTAATAAACAATCTCCTTCCTGCACTGTCTACAGCAGTGGTTCTCAACTGGTTTTGCTTTAGGACCCGTATTTTGCTGTTGACATCACGTGTGTTGACCCAGTGTACCAAGTACCAAAATCAGACCTAAGTGCACTGGAAAAAAAATGTTCAAGGTCAAAGAAACACTAATAAATTGTTTGTTTTTGAGGATGAGGGCATGTTGGCATCTGCCTATTAAAATATATATGTGTGTTTTTTAGGGCCCAAGCACCGAAGGTATGATGGCACCTATTATATCCGTTAGTTTTCTTCTTCTTCTGCTCTTTTGTCTATGGTAGCCCAAAGAACTGCTTGAGGGAAAGTTATGAAATTTGGCACACAGATAGAGGATGATCTCAACATTAACCATAGCATGTTTATGCTATAAACTGTTTATGTTAATAACTTTTTAACTGTAAAGTTTAGAGGCAAAATTCTTTGTCCCCCTTATTCCTTCGCTCATGTTGGGTCAAATGCATACCAAAATTAAAATTTCTACAGGTCAAGATTTTTCGCAATTTTAAATTATTAAAAAAACCTACTCATCTGATTTTAACCGAAATTGGCTTAGATCATCTTCAGACCATGCTGGCAAAAAGTTATTAAAAGCTTTTTGATAAACCAAACCGTTCTCAAATAATGTGCTTGACACGAATTTGACGAAGATCATGCCAAATTGGACATGAGGCAATAAGTATGCAATGTTTTAGCATATTCAAACCAAAATTGGTACATGTCATCATAAGCATCACCTGAGGCTACATGCAGCATTTTGGCACAGCGTCACCTACTGGTCAGGAGATATGAAAAATGGCTATTTTTGCTTATAACTTCTGAAGAGTTTGTCCAAAACTGGTTTCTTCTGATTCAGTGCAGTATGCCGAACAGAATGACACCCAATATTCACATATTGGCTATTTTGAATTTATCATAAAATGCTGCATTTTTTACGAACACATTAGCGTATTGTCTCAAAACTAGGCATGTGTCATCGGGACCATACTCTGACGGTACGTAAAAAGTATCAGAACAGTGCCACCTTCTGGTCAAAATGAATAATGAAAAAAAAAAAAAAACCCAGCTAATAGCTTTTTATTAATTTAGCATATTTTAATGAAAATGGTCTTGATAGATACCTTGGATCATCCCGAGAGCATCAATACCAATTATGCCATATTCGGTCGATCTTGCAGTTTCTTTGAAACCCTACTTTTTCTAACTTCTCCTAAACTGTTGGTCTGACTTTCACCAAAATTGGCTAAGATAGGCCTGGGCGATAAAACTGTATCGATATTTATCGACGGTACACCTTCTTCGATAACGATATAAAAAATGTTCGATATAGTGCAGGAAATTGGCACGTGCTATGAGTGAAGCAGACAGCACACACAAACACTAACACATGCTGAAATGAGTGCTGTGCCTGCCTGTGATGAGGAGATTGTGAATAAAGAATGAATATTAGTCAAATTTAAAATAAACATTTACATTTAAATGTTAGGTGTGCATTAGGGAGCGTCATTAGTGGCGCGCGAGATGCAGTGATGATGTAAGTGACGTTGTTGCATTTTAATGTTTTGTTAGTCTAGCCCACGAGACGCGCTGTTGCTGCGTTATTCATTCAAAATATTAGAGAAATATAGAAGCTCAATGCGGAGAAGATCTTGATTAGGTGAAAACCAAAACCAATGCAATTTACGAAATTATATTAGATTTTTTATCATTTTTGACATTTTTTATAACCTTTTTTAAAACAAAGAGCAATAGAAAAAAAATGTCTAAATTTAACCACTTGTATTTTAGCAACGTCACTTACATCATTTTAAATGATTAAAAAAACCTACTCATCTGATTTTAACCGAAATTGGCTTAGATCATCTTCAGACCATGCTGGCAAAAAGTTATTAAAAGCTTTTTGATAAACCAAACCGTTCTCAAATAACGTGCGCACAAATTTGACGATAATTATTTGACAATAATTATCGATAGCGGACAATATGAAACACTATATCGTTGATAATTTTTTTAGCTATATCGCCCAGCCCTAGGCTAAGATCATCTTCCAACCATGCCGGCAGAAATCGGCTCCAATATAGGATGAGGATCTTTTGACCTTCTTTTTTTAAAATTTAAACGTAGCAACATGTGATTTATTTTTGGCTCATGACCCACCAGCTGAGAACCACTGATCTTAAGACATATGGAAGAAAAGCAGTACAGATCACTGATAAATGCAACAACATATAATCGTTTAGATGCTTCATTTGAGATCGTAAAGACGGAGACGGTAAACAAACAGCGATAAAGCAGAGTAAGGTGATTAGTAATACTCTGGGAGGACGCACACACTCTCTGGGATTCGCCCACCACTTAACACACTGAATATGAAACGCTGCCGTCATGCAATTAGACAGATTGATTCGACTTCCGTAAGGCTTCAAGTTTAACGTAACCAAAAAAGATGAACGGAAACAATCAAGAATCCTCTTGGAGACTACAGTTAGCAGTGTCTCACTCAATCACGATGTGGTCACTTGTTGAGTTTTTCTTTTCGATAAATGAGCCGATAACAGTTGACCGTGGCTACCGTTGGCCAGCCAAAGCAGAGGTCTTCTCTAGTACCCTGCGCTTCAATGGCAGTGTTCTAGCCGTTAAACTGGAACAGGAATCTTATATTTAGCGAGACCAGGTCTCCGTGTACTCATCTCAACACTGCAGAGAAATTTTGGAAGCGCCCTGCTTCCCAAAGTGCGGATACAGACAGTCAAAACGATTACGTGAAAAGCTGAGGCTTAGGAGTGCATTACGGTCGCATGCCATCACAAACCCCTCCACGGAGAGGTACACACGCAAGGCAATGACTAACACGCAGATTCAAACACTTGAACAGGGATGCAATGTCTCAGAACACGTAATGACAGGATGTTCCATGGATCAAGTCATATAGTCCAACATTCGACGAGCATATACTTGCATAAACTGGTCCTACAAACGTTTGCCTTGCTAATAACTGGGTGTGATGTCTGAGAACGAGGATGACGAGACAGCTTCATCGATTATGGACTCATATGGAGGCACAAGATCTTCAGCAGAGAACATTTATCTGCCACATAGAGAAAAGACACGATAAGCGACACCAGCAAAGAAGGACGCACCTTGAAAGAAGGTGAAGATGATGAAAGACGAAGACAATGGGTTGGAAGGGCTGATTCAAAGTAACTTCATGGCAATTTTTACGCTTCCTTGTATACGTACGTACCTGGAGCATCCCAGGCGATGAAGCTCGCTTGAACTTCTAGCTAATCTTTGTTACATTAAAGGCAAATTAATGCACCCTTTCTGTCTTAAATTCTACATTGTGATCATTAGGGAATGCTTTGAGTGCACTGGCGGCCATCACTCGTCCAGGGCCGCGGGCTCGTCGTGCTCCAGCTTGTAGGAGATGTGCTTACAGCAGAGGCTAGAGAGAGAGAGGTCGCACCTGGTGGCCCGAGCAGGGTCGCAGCGGCCCATCATTCGCTCCACCAGCCGGCCCAGCCGTGAGCAGGCGTTTTGCCCCTCTGAGAAACAGCACATGGAGTCCACGCATCCGATGCCCTGGTAGGCCTCAATAAACTGGAAAAAGAAAGAGAGATGTCAGCCAGAGCACGAAAGAGATCAAACCAAACGGTTCCCAACAAACATCTTCAATCTGCACTGATTTGATGTCCATAATGGGCAATGACTAGATGTCTTAATATTTTGTCATATTGGACACTCTTTACATATCAACTTTAAAATGTATTATTTGTCCTGTATTTTACAACAGCACTTCCACAAAAAGGGCACAAAATTGGGCTTGAAACTGAAGGGGTTTAAAAGGGCCTCGCTCTTTATTTTGTAATAAACATCTATTGTTGTTTGAAGTCTCCAGTAGTTTGTCGTTTCATCTCTTCTGTTTCTTTTTTAACTGTGAAACAAAGGCACAGGCCAGTGTTGCCACCATGTAGACTAAGTAGTGAAAGAAAATCAAGGCACATGCACAAGCGCATGCAGATTATGCATGGTTGGAAACATCAAGTTGAGCATGTTCAGTATGCACCTATGGTAAAAACCGAAGTACACTTTAGGCTTAAAGTGATGTGACTGGAAACAGATTTCCATGCATAACGTACAGACTTCACTTAAAGATAATGAAATTTGTTATAGATTATTTCCATCGTCCATTATTGTTTTATAGATAGGATGCTTCAGACCTAATTAAATAGATCATTCCACCACAATGGAGTTGCAGATTTGGCTACATGAAGCTATCACTCAGTGGCTATGTAATTGGGACCAAATTTGGTTTGTAGTTAGTGATAAACTTACATTAACCTTAAATAAAAATATTAATTTGATCATATTTCTTGCAGTAACTTACTTCGAGAATAACAATGAAGTTGATAATTTAATATCAATGATTAATCATTGATCAAAATTTTCCCCTACAATTAATTAAATGTCAATTCAACGGATTATGTTAGAGAAGTTGGCCAAGACGACTAATTTTTTGAAGGGTGTGAAAGGTTGTCTTTATTGCTTAAAAAAAAAAAAAAAAAGTAACAGTACACCAATTTGTACCCAATTTGAGGAAAGGGCCACATGTTTAAATAAGATGCATGTTTAATAACACCTGAACAGAGCCTCAAATACAGAACATCTGGTCATACCAATAATGAGAGACATAGCTTGAACACTGAACTCAAATCATAAATGCAGTTCATGGTTTTACATATAAAACCAGTGGCGGAGCCAGAGGAGTCTCCAGTGTGGCACTGGACATCCCTGACATCTGATCGGCCACCCGAGGTGGCACCCCAAAATTTAATATGCTACTATTACATTTTCTGTTTAATTTCACTGAAAGAATAATTTATTTTAGCCTCAAACTCAAGGATGTGACACGTCTGGTGTGCCGCATCACGCTTCATCTGGTCCGGTGTAGCTTCCAGGCTCTGCTAACTCTCACGCCACACAGTCATTTTCTTACGGAGTGAAAAACATCGCAGAGCAAAGATGACACAGACAACGCGCTGAGGGACAAGACAGAGCAGGTTACTTTTGATAATAGGAAACAAAGTCTCAGCATTCAAATTCTGTTAGTTTTATTAAGAATTTCAAACGATAAACAGAGTTTTGGAGCTCTTTAGTGGTGCTCCCGCTTTGCCTCAGTTCAAGCGAAGCAGGAGTGCATTATAATTACCATGAAATAAACATGAATGAACATCTTGAGGGCGTGTTGAAAGATACACTACAACTTACTGAATTTATAAAGTGAATGTAATCACTCAATCAGTGTTTCAACCACATAACCTTAGAAAATCCATTCAGTGTCCATAAACTAGCGAGCAAAATGTACACTAGAGAGAATTTTACAAAAATTACATTTGTTATATTTGTACTCATATAATTACTCTTTTTTTTATTATAATTAATAAAAATGTATAGATATAATGTTATTATAAAAATGGTTTAATATGAACTTGTATGCAAATCGATTATTACTTTTAACCTTAACAATAGGGTTCCCTGTGTAGTTTAGTTTAGAAGAATTGAGAAAAAATAATGTAATTAATCGCAGGCTTGTTCATTATTCCTGAATAATTCTCACTCCAGGCTGAACTCAGAAGTTGGCAGCCCTGTTTGAAGTAAGCTGAAGTTTAGGGTTTCCTGATCAACATTTACAAAATTCACTGTATAAGTTACTGTTAGATCTTTTGCACCAACCGCTGGTTAATCAGATGATAGAAATAAGAGAAATAAGTTCCACTAGACTAACATTTGAAGTTACGTAAGTAATGTATAGCTAATGTGCATGGGGTAATGTGAAGTAATCAGCAATTGCAGGATTTATTCATGCTTTTTTATGCCAGGTTGGAGTTATACGCTGATTTTCTGTCATGGTCTATGGACCCCCTGAATTAACGTTGGCCACCCGTGTATAAAACTCTAGCTCCGCCACTGTACAAAACATGAGAGTCTGGATTGGAATGAGACAATGAATGAGACAATAAATGACCAAAAAATGAATACATTAGAGTGATAAATGATGCCGTCTCTTCAGAACCACAGATATCCTTGGCCTCGACAAAAATTACAGTTCCCTTTAACTCAATATTCAATTACTAAGACGACGCTAAAGACCTGCATGTTAAATTACAGCCCAAGTGCTACAACAAGACTTTATTCAAATCAGATTCCCAATCAAATGCACTCAAAAACCAACCAAGGAGGAAAAACAGTGCATGCAGCCAGAATTGAGAAAGTCAATTCTTTGATCTCTCTCAGGCAACCTGACTAGGCATTATGCAAACTACCAATACTAACATTAACTCCCTCTGGACTCACTTCAGCATGCCTTGCAGAATTAGTCTTGAGACAAATGTGTTTGTTGACTAATGCATAAATGAGGACGTTAGTTGCACACTTTGTCCTAGCATCTACAAGGAAGGATGCTTGAAAAACGCCCTACTAGCCTCCACAAATACTGTGAACTATAATGACAGACACGTTCAGTCACGTCACAAATACAGTCCATGTTTCCTTGATGTTTCTTGTTAACCTGAGTTTGACTATGTGCTGGGTTAAAGATTTAGCTATTACAACATGGACCTTGGCAGTTCTGCTAAAAAAAAATAAATATTAGCAGGAAGTTGCGGAAAGATTAAATGCCGTATGACTTCAACAGTGTCCTGAAACTGTAAATAAAGAGGCAGTTCAAGCGAAACGTGCAGTTCTAATCAAAAGCAGAACCTGTCCAGTAATTTCTGGAGGCTATGACTAACCACCAAATGACAAATGATGCTAAAATCGAAAACAAAAATAAACCAGCAAATTGATTTATCAGGTCTGTGTGTTGTGCACAGAAAATATCACCAATCATTCCACTTTACAGTAGTGAGCAGCGCATTTCTTTAGACAAAGCGCATCCAGAAAATAGTGGAGGACACTGAATTGTAACTAATAAATTAAAATCAATTAATTAAAAAATATTATGTTTGGATTTTTCATCCGATTAATCGAAGAAATAATCGACAGATCAAGAAGTTTTTTAAAATAGTTTGCAGCCCTGCATTGCTAGTTTGTTATATGCATTTAATTCAAGCTTAATTTGTCATTAATTCAGTAAATTCAGTTGTAGAATGCAGTTGCCACTTGTGTAATAAAAACCATACACTGAAGAAAATAAAGCACTCAGGAGTGCAGTGACAACCATATTTGCCTGCAGTGTGTACATGGCCATAGTAAGACAAAAACATGCTCTTATATTATAAACAAAGAGCAGCAGCATAAGCGTTACTAACAACCATTAGTGAATCACAGAGAGCTGTCAGTAACTGTTCAAAGAGCAGCTCATTCAACTGATGATTGATGAAAATACAAACAAATGTTTGTCACATTAAATACAAACACAGTGTCAGTGATGGAGATGATTATGGGAAAAAAAACTATAAATAAGGATGATTAAGGAGACATGGAGACACATAAGGCACTTGAGACGGATTAGATTAGACCAGCAGAGTCTCCAGCGAATGGATGGTCATGTAACGGACAACGATCTAAGAGACTCATGCCACTCGCTCCTGGTTACATCACGGGGAGAGCTAGTGTCACATGACAGGATGAGTGGGTCGTGGCGGTCACATACTGTACACAGCTGATGGGGGAAGAGTACTACCTAGGGGAGGGGTGGGGCTGCACCAGAGGTGGAGGAAAAGCAGCGATCAGTGGCCGATTGTCCTCCCCTCTGCTCCCGATTTCAGCAGTGTCATATTCTGAGCTGACTGAAACCTTATCCGCTTCCATCTGGAAGGACAAAACAGTGCGGTAAGTCTCCCAAACGGATGAAAACAGAGAAAGGTGAACGAGCATGAAACAGCCCCACGTCCACTGCGAGAAAACACTTCTGAATTCGAAGGCTCTGTTACAAAACCTAGTGAGCTGCCTACATAGACAGCATTTTAAAGCATCGTGGACTTGCTGATGTGAAGCCTGTTCCAAAAGGTGAAGAAACGTTCACAGAGCAAGCTAATTCCTCCAAGAAACATTTATAGTTATTATATATAAAAATAGATTGACTATAATTATAATGTACTATTTTAACCAATATTTGTTTGTGCTTCGCATATTTAATGTGACGTCACATTTACAACTGCTCTGCAAAATTTTGCACGACAATAAGCCGAAACGAAAGCAAAAAAATACAGTGAAAGATATGGGAATAATGACGACAAAATAAACATCCAAAGCTATTCAAACCAACCCTAAAGAACATCTTTCCAAACAGCCTGTTTTTTTATGAATGATTTCATAACATTTAAATTTAGTGTTATACAAAAATGGTTGAGTAGACACCACCAGAATGAGTGCCTCGTCCATTTCGGATCTTTGGTTTCGCTTTGAAAAAACAAAGGTCACAAACTTGGGTTTTCAATAAGAGCTCTAGTGTGAAAAAACACCTTAAAATCTTTAAATGCTTTAAAGAAACCTAACCGAATAAGACAAAAAGTCACAAACATGAGGCCTCATCGCAAAAGAGTGACAATCGCATTTCTAAATAGAACAGAAATCTCTACTGAATACAGGAGTCTTTCTTTAACTCACTATGGATGACATAATACCAACATTTTGGCAGCTTGTGGCTGTAAAACAAACACATGGAGGCCAACAGTTGGCTAAAGAACTCTAAAATAACAATATTTCCGTTTGGATACTGCTTTAGAAGGTAGAACAGGAAGTAGACAGGAAGACAGGTCACTAGGTTTTGGAACGTTTGGAAGCCCAACATCATAGAACTTTTTTTTTTTTTAGACATTTTTGCAGTCAAAAAGTCAAATTCAGATTTTAAGTAAGCCTTTTTTTTTTTACTGATGTCTCGCTGGAGCTGGACTGGAGATAATTTTCTCTGCTCGTTGGTAGAGACTAAAAAAACAATTGTTTTGGGAACATGCAACACATAGCTTAGATAAACATTTTTCAGAGAAAAAAAAAAACTCATTAAAAAGCTTCCCAACACTAGTGTACAAAAAGCATCTATTAATGGGGCTGTGAGCTCAAGCTCATGCTGTAAGAGGATGCCCTCCAAACATGGCCACGTCTGCTTTAAATCTGACCTCCACAATCATGCACTTGCAGGTACGGGTTATGCATGCAGCGTGAACTGTTAAAGCACGTCAGGTGTTTATTTCGCTCCTTCCCCTCTGTTAGTTCTTCCTCCGCATGCAGTGTGAGAGTGTCTCTCCTACTCTACCTAATCTTGCCCAGCTGATTCTTGGCTCTGGACAGAGGCTGAAGTGCGATGAAGTCATCACCTATAGCCACGCGGTTGGTGTACATCTACAGAACACACAGAGGGTCAGTAAAGAGGAGGAAAAGTCACATGTGCAGTTATACACACACACACACACTGTACACCACAATCCACTCAGCACACACATTCAGAAAGGACAGAGACAGGAAACAGGAAACAAGCAGCAGACACAGAGAGAGTGCACTTCGAAACTATCGGGTGTCATCCGCAAGGCAGCGTGTGCTGATGCCACAGAACCGTACTGCAGCAACTTCAGTTACCGCTCGCTAAGGCAAGTAGAAAAAGATGTGAATATAAGGATTGAAAGAGTACGAAAGGAAGAAAACAAGCATTTTAATTCTCCTGTGAAGGGTTAGACGCGAGTTAAAGGGGTCATATGATGCTGCTAAAAAGAACATTATTTTGTGTATTTGGTGTAATGAAATGTGTTTATACGGTTTAAGGTTCAAAAAACACATTATTTTCCACATACTGTACATTATTGTTTCTCCTCTATGCCCCGCCTTTCTGAAACGCGTCGATTTTTACAAAGCTCATCGGTCTGAAAAGCAAGGTGTGCTGTGATTGGCCAGCTATCCAGTGCATTGTGATTGGCCGAATACCTCAAGCGTGAGATGGAAATGTTACACCCCTCACCATACTGTGATGCCCTGTCTGGCCGGAGCGATGATTCAAAAACATTAAAACCCATTATAAACGAGGCATTCGTTGCATCCAGTGGGGACATAATTACGGATTATAATGACTTATACTGTCTTTTTACGCGTTGCATCGCGCCGCGTAAACATAAAACCATGTCTGCATTTGTGATCGGAGAAATGACAAACAACAAGCACTACTCTACACTGCCCAAAAAAACTCGCTTTAAATTAGGGCTGCACGATAAAAGAGAAAGGAAAAATTGAAATCGCATCCTATGACCCCTTTAAGATTCTGAAAGAGGTTGGAGCCGACAGCTTTATGTTCAAATCCCAGCTCATGGTCCTCTCGTTTTTGTCACCCCTTGAACTGTCCTATCTGAAAAAAGGCAAAAATATAAACCACCCACACTCCAAATTATGAACTTACAGTTTCACTTATAGCCATAGTATCTTTACAAAAATGAAACTATTTTAAAACTTCAGCTTAGCTTTTGGTGTTTGATTTTTCGCATATCAACAGAAACACCGGCGCATAATCAGAGAGTTTATGGCTTTAAGTGCCTGATATACTTCAAGCAGAATGGAAGAACGAATGGGTGTAACAATCTCAAACAAAGGGCACGTTTACACGACAACGATGCTCTAAAAGGGGAAGTTTTTTCTTTGCATTTTTGAAAAGTTTTGTGCACAGACGACAACCGTTTCACACGGATACGCAAAAACAACTAAAAATCCTGTATTATTCATGCCAGGCCAGTAGATGGCAATGGCCCTTTGTACATAAACACTTCACACCTGTGCACATACTTATACACCGAACATGTGAAACGCACAATGTCAACGTTTTCACAAATTCATGTTATTATTATTATTTTTATTTTTTGGTAGTTTACACAGATGATAACGGTATCATTTTCAAAAATGTGCACTTTGAAACCAGTTTTCAAAAGTTTGCATTTTCAGGCCTGTAGAAGGCCGTTGTCGTGTAAATGAATCGCCAAAATGGCATTTTAAACACCATCAAGCCGCCATTGGTTCATGATGATAGGCGGGTGTGCTTTGGGGCTCTGGCTTCTTTTGTGGAAATCTTTTAAGGTTAATTTATTTCGATCAGTCTGCTGAGGTTAGCCACGAGTAAAAGCATGAATGCATTGAGTGCTGAATTGTAGAGCTGGTGCAAATATATCCACATCCCTATGATCAGATGATCGGATCAAACTTTCATTTTCCCCCGAGTGAAAAACTTAGCTAAAAGCATACTAGGGCCTTTATAGAGGCACCAAACTAATTCAGTAGACTGGAACTCTTGGAGGTTACACGCCATTGATTTAATTACCAATGTGAATATTTAACTTTTTAAATAAAGGTGCTCTATAGAAAATTAGAGAATCATGGAATATCAGTGGAATTGGTGTAGACTACTGAAAGTTTAGTTCTGTGACAATCCTAATATAAGTCAAATGAGGAATTACGTCACTTAAATGAGGAACTTTAATACCCTGTCAGAAAGGACTTTTTTCAAAATGTTCACACAAATACCTATTTACAGGAAGCAACCTCTAGAATAAGCAAGCAAGCATGATGCTACAACCTGCCATTGTTTATTCGGATAATTCAACCATGCATCGCAAAGATGCATCGCATTGTGAGTCCAGACATAATAAGTGCCCGCTGCAGAGGATTTTTAATAGTGCGATGAATGCTGGTGCTGTAGTGATGCAGTGAGTTTAAGTGAAGGTGAGCTGCTGGTGAGAAGTCATGCGGTGACGTGAGCCACATGCTGTGTTACTTCATCGGTGTCATCTTTGAAAGCATAAATCTAGCACAATTGCACATGTGACACACACACTCTCACTCCATCTCAATCAGAGCTCGAGCGTTTGTGGTGGAAGTCTGACGCTCACCTGAGATTTCTGCGTGCTGGTGGGCTGCAGGTGCCTGTAGAAGACTTTCTTGATGACATCTGGAAACAGGCAGGTGATGATGATGATGATGATGGCAAACCAGGCCGAGCCGCTCGACAGCAGCTGAACAAAGACGAAGTACATGTCCTGTGTGTGAAGAAATGGCCTAGCGGAGAGGAAAACTTCAATTAGACTCCAACAAGCGTTTGATAATGCTGTCCAATATCCAACTAATGAGCAATCGGGCAACTGTTTCAGAGCCAAATACTGAGCACAGCATTTCGACTGTATTCCAGAGTATGTCGCCAAAGAGCGAACGGTTATCACCTGCAAATCAACAATTCAATAAAAACTATTTAGAAAGGAAAATTACCAATTTAGACATTGTTCTCGACTTCCACTTTCTCACACAGGACAGACAAAAACAAGCATGCTGATAATATATCACACTCCTTTTAATCAGTGACTCATGTCATTGTTGATTACTGGACAAGGATTTGAAGAAAAAAAAAAAACTCACTTCCAGCAGATGCAAGATTTTAGAGTATGACTACAAAAACATCAAAATCTCATGCATTAATGGCTTGTTTTTTAAAAAGCGTGTCTATTCAGTGAAAAATGCTTGTTCACAATTTACAATGTAAATGACATCATCTAAAATAAATACATAAAATACATTAAAAAACGCTGAATATTGAAGGGATTTGTGTGTACACTACCACTTGACATATGTTTGTTTTATTTATTTGCAAATTAGAGGAAAAGATTATTATATTATATTGGGTTACACTATTTAATGTGTCCTTGTTACAGTGTAATTATGCATTTAAGTACTGAGTAATATTAATTAACTACATGCACTTACTATATGGTTAGTGTCAGGATTAGGGTTACAACTATAATTCACTGTTATTATAATAGTAAGTACATATAACGTGTAACAAGCACACCTTAAAATAAAGTGTTACCTTATATTATTATATATTTTGTTATAAATTATAATCTAAGTATATCAATTTTGAAAACTTGAAAAACTCATATTTGTTGACCACTAAACTGAATATTGTGAAAGACACATTCCTCTAAAACAGACCCATAATGCAGATGGATATGAGGTGGGAAAGCATGATTTCTTTAAAGTTCAGTCAAAGTTCAAATGAATTTGTAAAAAAATGTACAAACAAACGGCAATACAGAATGTTATGCTTGCTTTTCTGAAGGCATTATGGGAAAACGCAGGCAATACAGTACCAGATGATGCCGCCATAAAACAAGGAGAAGATGAAGTAGAAGGCGATGGAGCCCCATGTGACAAAGTGGTTCATCCACGTCCAGAAATGAGTCTCTAAGGCCAGCTGTGGAGAGAATGGTGCAAATGAAGCTCACGTGTCATTTAAAAACCCACGTATATGTTGCATTTACGTATGAACTCACCTTCAGCGTGACCGTAATAACCATCACAGTGAATACTAAAGTGCCAAACGTCCAGTTTCCAAACATCTGCAAGAATGAAACACACATTTTAAAGACTGTATGACAAGATTATTAAATTAGCCCACCGTGGTTGTTAACATGTCATGGGGGGTCAATTCACCCAAAATAAGTATATCAAGAGAGATTCCGGCTTGTCGTCATGCAAAGTGCGAGTGAAGGAGCACTTCCGAATCTTGTCATAACTCTGCCCCATAATTGAGGATGGCAGAGTATCAAAAGAATAGAGATCAGAGCCGCTCGTACAGCGAGCAGCGAAACCAAACCAGAGCGACAGCTGCTCATTAGAGAGGACACATGCATCAACTGGAATCCAGTCAACTCTTACCAGTTGCCTGTTAGCTCGCAAAATCTGAGAGCATGCACGGCAAGAAAGAGAAAGAGAGAAGCAGAAAAAGAGAGAGAATATGGATAAGTAGTAAAAGCCAACAGTACGGTACAAATGTGCCAGATAACAGGGTAATTAGTTGGACGATTGATGCTTTGTGTCTGTAAGCTGGAGTAAATCAATAGTCCCTAACATTGTTAACGTCTCACTAAGTGCATTCATTACCTTAAGCGCTTCTAGCGGAATCATTCAGAGAGCATCTCTGAGATCTATACAGAATGCTGCTTTGTGGAGGATATCAAAGACAACTTTCATGCTAGCACAATAACAGTCCTGCCACAGACACACATGAGCGTGAATGAGAGAAGAGGAGAGAAGGAGGTGACGCCGGAGAGACGCTGACCTGTCCGTTTCCCATCAGTGTGGTGTCTTCTCCCATCAGGATGTAGGAGCCGAAGAAGAAGACGAAGGCGTGGCAGAAGCCCAGGAAGGTCCAGTACAAGAAGGTTTTGAAGGACAGCAGGGAGTTTTTACTGATGTCTCTGATGAAGGGAAAGAACATTATTTAATCCTGATTTGTGGGGAAAATAAAACAACAAAACAGGCTCATATTCCCATTACAGCCAACATTAAATTAAAACTGACCCCATTTACTTTGGAAACAAAGAAAAGGTGCAGGTACTTTTTTTTTTGTAACTGTTAACTTAAACTATTAAAAATAACTAAATAATTGAAATAAAGCTAAAAAATGAGAACTGAAATAAAATAAGTTGTAAGTTGAAGTACTAAACAGTGTAATTTTAGCATCACTGATATACTATTATAGTTTTTTCTTAATATTTAGTATTAGTACTTGTTTATATATTTTTTGTTTTAATTTAAATTGTACAATTTTAGTAATTTTGTTGTGTATTTTTGTCATTTTTATTAATTTTAGTTTGTTTTTAAATATGTATAAAAGCAATAAGCCCCGTGAAGCCGTGGTTTACAGTGAATTTAAAGGACCGGAACTCTCCGTTTTATAAAAATAGTTTTTATTTAGTTATAGTTATTTTAGTACTTCAACTTAAACTAAACGAAAATGAGGAAACGAAAATAAAGTTTTTTTTTTTTTTTATTTCAGTTAATGTTTATTTTATTTCAAGCAATATGACCCTGGTACTAAATTTACTAAAACTAAAATAAAAAGATATTTAAATAGAAATATAATTATTTAAAAAAACAAAAAAACAATAATAACAGTGACACAATGATATATGACATAAGACATGATGAATTATTGACTTATCACTTAACCAAAACTTTAAATAAAATTAACACTGGAACTCTCCTGAGAGATTTGGTTTAATCTTTGGTTTGCTCATTTTATTCACTTTATTACGAAACTATTTTTGCCGTTTTGTGGACTAGTGATTTAAAAATCTGGTTTTCACTACTCTTTTCCCCTAAATAAATAAATAAATATGAGTTTTGCAAATCTTTCAGTGAAAAAAAACAAAAACTAATTTGTCAGTCCTGTTGACAGCCCCAGTAGAGATCGGCAGTGTGTACTGTACTGTTGAGGGGTCTCTAGGATCAGGGTTGGGAAGCTCTGCGCTTGAGCTCTTCTCCTGATGCTGTACCTGTAAAGTGCTGGTTTGCTCTGCAGAACATGTGGATGCACCAGCTGCTCAAACAGACTGTATACCAGTATGCATTTGAATTGCACGCCACATCTTCTCCTATTCGGCACCTACCAATACCAACGTGAGCCTCTTGGATCATACTGACGTCGTTGGCTCCATCTCCGATGGCTAATGTAATAGGCTTCTCAGGAGAAGTCTTCAACAGTCTCACCACCTGCCAAACACACCGCAGCCGTTAACACCAGCGCTATGAGAACAAGTCAAGTCACCTGTATTTATACACTGCCAAACAGGAAAACTGTGAAAACAACAAGCCAGTGTGGGGCGATTTAGCAGGGACCGGCCATATTAGTGTGCGTGACCTCTGGCCTCGTGAGGATAGAGTGAAACGTCAACAAACGGACACAAGAAGGTGTTAGGTGACTCACCTTGGCTTTCTGGAGAGGTGCCATTCTGCAGCAGAGCACCGCCGAGCAGTTCTTACACACCTCCATAAAGAGTTTCTCATGTTCCCGCAGAGCCAGGGAAAGGCTGGCCCCGTCCACGACCAGCCCATGCTGGATCACATGATCCTCTTTGATCCTGCACAAACACAGGCACACATCACACCCATCTCAATCAGTCCTACATATTTAGTCCGATATTTCCATTCAACACGGAAGGAGAAAACCACTGTCACATCAAGATTCAAGATTCTTTCATTTGTCACATACATGGTTATATAGAGAATATATGACCAGCAGTGAAATGTAAGTCAGGCCCGCTCCATGGACAGTGCAATTATTAAAGAATACAGACACAAGAAAATTATATATAAATATATGGAAAAAGTAAGATAAAAAAATAAGAATAAAATAAAATGCGCAGGACAGTACAGGTGCATCTCAATAAATTAGAATGTCGTGGAAAAGTTCATTTATTTCAGTAATTCAACTCAAATTGTGAAACTCTTGTATTAAATAAATTCAATGCACACAGACTGAAGTAGTTTAAGTCTTTGGTTCTTTTAATTGTGATGATTTTGGCTCACATTTAACAAAAACCCACCAATTCACTATCTCAACAAATTAGAATACTTCATAAGACCAATTAAAAAAAAAACATTTTTAGTGAATTGTTGGCCTTCTGGAAAGTATGTTCATTTACTGTACATGTACTCAATACTTGGTAGGGGCTCCTTTTGCTTTAATTACTGCCTCAATTCGGCGTGCCCGTCGGAGATCATAGCACGATGCTTTGTACTCACTCATGTTCCCCGACGACAGACCGGCGTTGTATGCGGCAGTGCGTTTGTCACGGTTTTTGATTTGAGAAGGTCCTTACAGTTTTTGTATCTGTTGCTTGTTTGGTTAGCATGTTTACAAAGCTTAATGCTACATCCGTGAACTCGCTGTCATGCTTGTGTGAAATGCCACTCTGAATGAAAGAGAGTATAAACAGGGCTTGAAATCTCACAGAAAGGGTGCGCTAAGGTGTTGTACCTGCGGGCTAGTCTGCGGAGCTGCTCGGCACACTCGCTGTCTGATTTCTGCTGCACGAGCTCCAGGATGTTCATGGTGCGATGGAAGTGACCACAAGAGAGGCTCACGCTAACCGCCGTCTCATGCTTGTCACCGGTCAACACCCACACCTTGATCCCAGCCAGTCGCAGAGATTCAATCGTCTCCTGGACCTTGTCCTGCAACCTAGACACGAACACACGAACACACACACACACACACACACACACACACACAACTAAACAC